TTTTTTTTTTTTTTTTTTCCTTCTTCAAGCAAAAAAGAAAGATTAAGCTCTTAAAAAAAGAAGTTATTGTATTGAGAATTGATTATCTGTTTTATTCACATTTACATGTACAGGAAGATATATGCCTTGGACATATCTGGTGAAATACCAAAAGAACTGTTTGAGCTAAAGAAGTTGATGGACTTGTGAGAACCAAACCCTTGAAATTCTATGTATTGGTGTTTGCCAACTTGTTTTTTATCGGCATGTAATGAGAAATAATTGGATAATGATGTAGGAATCTTGCTCAGAATGTTCTCAGTGGCTCTGTCCCCCCTGAAATTGGTCAGCTATCAGATATGCAGTACCTGTAATTTGCTAACTTTTATGCACTTCACTACTTACTAAATTTATTTTGGTATGAGTTTTAGTATCCAAATTAGATATTTCCCTTTCTAAAGTAAGCATAAAAGTTTTCATTAACATTGAATGATTGGTTGGTTAGGAGCCTGGGCATAAACAATCTGACAGGGCCAGTACCCCAAGAGCTTGGCAACTTGACCAAGTTGATTTCCCTGTAAGTATTCCATATATCTTCAATGTTTCACATGCCACTATTGTTTTTTTTTTCTTTTTTTTTTTAATATGCGTGTACCAATTTTTGTTTATTTCATATATGTTTTAAAACTGTCTTGATTCATTTTAAGCTTGTTTTTTGTAACAGGAGTTTTAGCTCCAACAGTTTTGTTGGACAATTGCCAAAAGAGCTTGGAAAGTTGACATTATTACAGCAATTGTAAGTTCCAAAAATTTGAAAACAAGATACTCTATTCACAATTTCACATTTTTTGTTTTTGTTTTTTCTTTTTTGTTGTTCTTTTCATTGTGTATATATGTCTGATAATACCCCACCCCACCCCTCCTTTTTTTTCCCTCTCAGGTACATTGATAGCAGTGGAGTTACAGGACCAATTCCACAAGAATTTGCAAGCTTAAAAGCACTTAGAATCCTGTACTTAATCATATATTAATTTTTTGTTCTATATAGGTTGTTGATATTTTCTTTTATACAAATATTCAAAGGTCTTGATTGTATCATAATCTTCTCCTGTTTCAGTTGGGCATCTGACAATCTCTTCACTGGAAAACTCCCGGAATTCTTGGGGGATCTCACAGAATTCATAGACCTGTATTTATGACTTTTTCCCAACTAATAGATCACAAGAGAATATTTCACTTATAATTTTGATATTTTAAGGCTTATAATCTTGAATAATGCTTGTCCCTCTCTATCACAGACGACTAGAAGGGACATCTCTTGAAGGTCCTATTCCGAGTAGCTTTAGTGCTCTAACCAAACTAGAGACCCTGTAAGGCCTATTGTTATTGAATTTTTTTTTTTCCTTTTGTTTTTGCCCTTTTCTATTCTTAGAAAACATAACTCAAATAAAGCTTTTTTTTTTCCTTACTATTATTTACCTTGTAAGTTGGAATTACTGATAATCTTGTGTTATGTTTGTTATGTAGGAGAATTGGTGATCTAAACAAGGAAGATTCTTCTCTTAAATTTTTGGAAAATCAAACAAGTTTATCCATATTGTATGATTCCATACACACCTAAATCTATTGGATGAACAATTTGGCTTTCTTTTGAAACTCCAATATTCCTTGTAACTTAAATGAATTTTTACTTTTACAACTTGTTCTGCAGGACTTTGAGAAACTGTCGAGTTTCTGGCGAAATTCCGAAACGATTTGGTGGCTTTTCTAATTTGCAGCACCTGTAAGTAGTCTTAATCTATAATAATTATGTACTTTACTTCCTTTATATGCATGCTTCATGATTTTTTTTGTCATTTTCCGATATGGAAATTACTAATCATTGTTTAGACTAACAAATTTATTTTCCTTACTGCTATAGGGACATGAGTTTCAATAAGTTGAATGGTTCAATCCCAGACTCATTCCAAAGCCTAACCAAGTTACAGTATCTGTGAGTAGATCGTGGTTTGTTTTTTTTCTTCACTTTGTTTTTGGCTCTTTACGGCTCTTTGTTATCCATAATCCATTTATTTGTATCATAAGTGATCATGTAATTTGTTTTTATCATGATTAGTTATGATTTCCTCAAGAGATTAACTCCATTTTATTTGTCTAAGATATCTCGGAAACAACAACTTGAGTGGAGAGTTGCCAAATAATATCATCACTCCAAAACTAATCGCATTGTAAGTACTGACAGTGACACATTCAACTTCAAGTTTTCCTGCTTTTCTGATATAATTTATCTAAAAGTTATATACTTTTAGTATTGAGTGGAGGCGTAGTTATAATTTATTGTATAAGGTGGGAACCTAACTGAAATTTTAAAAACCTTTTAGTAGCTAAAATTGAAATTTTCAAATAATAGGTGGCTCGAGAAAAATGAGAAAGAAAAGTAAAATAAAACATAAAACATGAAAAGCTAATTCACTGTTTGGAAATTCGGAGTTGTGTGTATAATTGATCGTGACTATAACTTGAATGCCGTCCTGAACAACAGAGATGTTTCTTTCAATGGCATATCCGGAAATGTTCCTACAAATTTTACAAAATCAGGATTTTCAATGTAAGTATTCATTTTTTTCTTCTTTTTGTCACTGCCACACAACGCATGATTCTAAATGCTACAAAATCTTTGTTTGACAACCAAAATTTTCTCTTCAGGAATGTCCTTGGCACATCCATCATTCCAGACAATTTATCAGACGGGTAAAAAAACTTGAAACTTTCTGCTTGAATTAATCGTGGTTTTCTCTTCAGGATAATACTATATACACTTAATCATTTCAATGGTTATGGAGACAGGAAATCTTCTGAATTTCTGCGTTGCCTCCAAGGGGAAACCAAATGTTCTAATTACAAAATATCAACATGTGAGTGAAGTTTCTTACTTGCCCTTAATCACATTAACTGGTATTAAAAAAACACTTTTTAGATACTTATTGAAAATACTTGTTCTTGTAGCTTCATTTTCTGTTAAAAGTGGAGGGACAGAAATGACATCTGCGTCGGGCATCAAATACGATGATGATTCCGAAAAACTAGGATCTGCCTCAATTTACACGAACTCTAAATCCAAGTGGGCAGTAAGCAATACTGGGAATTTCTTATTTAATCCAAATGGACCTCAATTCATAGCAAAAACAGATTCTCAAATCACAAAAACTTTAGACTCCGAACTGTATAAAACAGCAAGAGTTTCACCTAGCTCACTGAGGTACTTTGGGTATGACATGATGAACGGGAAATATGCGGTTGAGCTTCACTTTGCAGAGATAGCAATGGACGACACTGGATCTTGGAAAGCCCTTGGGAGGCGCTTATTCGATGTTTACATCCAGGTATGGTGGATCTTTTTTTTTTTTTTTTTTTTTGAATTTTGTTCATGTCAAGTACTAAAACAACCTCTCAAAAATGTGAAACAAGAGTATTATTCATTGTTAAGTGTAGCATGCAAAAAATTTGTAGCGTTTTGGTTTGGGGACAAAAAAGTATATTTCCGGGGTCAGAAATGAAATTAACAGAAAGAAACCAATTTTAGAATCAGTAGTGCTTATTTCTAATCTTTTAGCAAAATGCACCAAATGGCTTCTTTATAGGGTGAGAAAGTGCTTAAAGACTTCGACATTAAGAAAGAAGCAGGGGGATCAAAGAGGGCCTTGGTGAAAACATTCGAAGCCAACGTGACAAACAAAATAATGGAAATCCATTTCTTTTGGGCGGGGAAAGGCACTTGTTGCATTCCATTTCAAGGCACATACGGACCTCTAGTGTCTGCCGTTCATGTCTACCAAGGTCGAATATTTTACCCATTGTAGTTTAGTAAGGCTCCGTTCGTTTCGCTCGTTCATAAAAAAATTTAAATTCTCTCAACTTTAGTTTTAAACTCGAACAAGCGTAACGAACGGGGTCATGTTCTTGGGCTGTTTTCCTTTTTAGTGACTAATTGACTAAAAGTTTTTCTCTTTTTTTTTCTTTTTATTTGTTTGATTTCCCATTTTTGTATATTTGTTTTATAGCAACTGGAGTTGGCTCATCTTCTAAAGAAAACAAGAAGCGGATAGGAAGATTGGTGGGAATAACACTCGGATGTGCGGCTGGTTTCGGCATTGTATTGTCCATGCTGTATCTATGGTGGACAAAGCGTGCGTCTTCTGCTCATATGCCAGTACAAACCGACTCGCCTAAGAAATGATTATTACACTTTGATTCTCTCAACTCCGTACAAATAGAGATAAAAATCTAAAATAAAAAGACGCTACCAAAAAAAAGCAAGGAATTTTAAAACACGTTTCGTTTACGGTTTACTTATGAAGTAAGGAGTGGCTTTCTCTCTCCTGTGGTGTTTGTTTTAACAGCGTAATGATTCGTAAACTTAGTTAGAAAGAGAGAACTGGGACCTTTTGTTTGGGATCATTATGTAAAGCCATGGAGTTGAATTATGATCACTAAATAGTATGAGATGTTTCAGCGAACGTTCTTCACTTCTTCGCCTTGCTCCCCTTGCTTTTTAAAAAAAAAAAAAAAAAAAAAAAAAAAAAAAAAAAAAGAAGCATAATAGTTTCAAGAAAATGATTGAAATTCAACAAATACAGGAAGAAAAAGAAAAGAAAAATACGATCACGGTGGGACTCGAACCCACAATCTCCCGCTCCGGAGGCGAGCGCCTTATCCATTAGGCCACGCGATCAGACGTGCTATGAGGCAGGAAAAAACATTTTACTTAGCTGCTAACATGAAGATTAAAGAGACTCTCTCTCTAGACAGGCAAGCAGATGAAAAAAAATTTGTCCCTTATTTTATCTTTTAAAATCTATATCTTAGGGGATGTTTGGTTGGATGATTCAAACCATGATTTGAATCATGGTTCATGGTTCGCTACAGTATTTTTTCTCATAAAAAATACACGTAAATCGAAAATAATTCTAATCACATGATTCTAATCTATAAACCAAACGTCTTCTTAATAAGTTTTTTTTTTAATAAGTTTTTTTTAAGGGCGTCAACGAATTTAACTCACTGATGTTCTCAATAATAAGAAAATCCTACATTCTCATTTAAACACTTTTTGTCACTTATTTTTCTATATCACGTGACATGTGCCGAATGCCATTTTTAAATGACTATATCCTTTTTTTTGTAATCAATGTATGTCTTCTTCCACCTCATGGAGGAAAAATTCTAGTAAGCCCTGTTTAACTAAGCAAGTCAGCTTGGATTAGATTACAGAGTTTGAATCCGACTAATCATGTTTTGTGTTTGGTAATGTTAACGGATTAGACACTTTGAAAACAAAAAAAAAAAAGCAAGAAATAAAAAAAAAGGAAGGAAGGAAGAATGAAAAAACCAGCTGTTGGTGCATTCTTGTGCGGAGCTAATTTGAATACAATACTTAAAAATTAGGTGACGTTTGGTTTTTAAGTTTAAAACTATAGATTATGATTATGATTTTTGAAATTTAAATTTTTTGTGAGGATAAAACACTGTAGCAGAACCGAAAACTATAATACTAAACTAAACATAACCCTTAAAATAAACGTCACCTTAATGATTTAATGAGAAAGTGTGCAACAAACATGTCAGAGATCTCCAGTAATAGGGTGACAGCTTTAAAAATTTCAAAATTGTACACTACATGAAGGATTTTTTTTTTTTAATCCTACGGTTACCAAAAGAAAATGTGTACAAAAATTTAAATTTCTAGATAAAGTGAAATACAATCATTATAAAAAAAATTGTTTTAAGATGTGTTTTTTAAGGTAAAAAACCTACAATGTGTACTTAAGAAACAACACAAAATCATGTTTTATTTACTCATGGATCTAGTGGACAAAAATTAAATTACTATCATACATGTCGTGCCCGATTTCGTGGTCTAAGAAAACAAGTTTTTGTGAAAGCAATAAAAATGAAAGATTTGAGCTCGTTATATTGTTTTTTCTCACAAAAAATACACGTAAACCGAGAATAATTCTGACTTAGAATTTTGAATCTATGAACCAAACGTCCACTATTTGAAATTGTTTCCTTATTTGAATTATGGGTTTGTGTGACATAGATTAATACAAGGAAAAATAAAGAATTTACTCTTAAAAGTGTATAAGTCTGAATTTTTACTCCTTATTCTTAATAAATAACTTTTTATTAATGTAATTATTTAACTAAACAAATTATAAATTATAATTAAAAAATAAAAGTATTGACTCATGTATTTTTAAAAAATATTTGTCAAAATTACTCATTATAACCTACTTTTCATAAAAGCCCTATAGATATTTTATTATACCACCGTACAAGAACAAGAGGGGAAAAAATCAACTATTATGATTAAGTAAACTTTTTAATGGAAAAAGACATAATGATATTTATTAATGGAAAATTGTGTGATAGGTAGGGTAATAAAAAAATGCTATCCATATGCCGAAATTCTAAACAGATGTTAAATACCATGTGATTATGGCTAAGTAAACTTTTCATTTTTGTACTCTAGAATTTTCCTTCTTACATCCCAAAAATGCAAATTTTTATTATTAAATCTCATGGCAGTAAAGAGAGAAAAATGTGATTATGATTAAGCCTATAAATATTAATAATCCAAGTAGTTCACTAAAGGTTCACACCCACAATATTCGGTAGTCGGCAATTCATGACCTTCCGATGGCTTCCCACACACACGTCAACTACTAGATCAATGCCAAGTGTCCATCACAGTTCAAGTGAAAAAAAAAAAAAAAAAGAAAAAAAAGCTAAAAGAGTGTAGAAAATTAGGAAGTGGATTAAATCGGAAAAAGAAAACAAAAAAGAAAGTCCAAATCACCGTAAATGGTACGCGTGGTATTGCCACTAAAATAAGCCACACACCCAAATCCAACCCACTGTCCCTCAGTAGACAGCTAGCTTTCAATTTTCAACCCATTTCGACTCTGATCAACGGCCACGATTCCTCCACGTGTCCGACCTTCCAACATATTTAAATCCTTTATTACTTTTTTCCGCCCCTCATTTTGCTTCTGACGCCCAATTATCCTCCTCTTTGCACGTAGAGAGAGAAATAAAAACAAAGCCCCAAAAAGAAAAACCGAGAAGAACTCGGAGCTTTTACAGCTTTAATACGACGCCGTACTGCCTCTCTGTTCGGACAAACCAAGCCAGTTCCGATCTCATTCGTAGGTCAACTCTCGGTCAGTCGCGGCGAGGAAAGTCTCCGGATCCGGCGTCGTTTTGCCCCCAACTTCCGCGGATCTAGAAACGCCGACACCTCCGGTATGTACGGAAAATGTATCTTCGTTTCTATTTTTAGAAAAAAATTAAAAATTTAATTAATACTCTTTGCAAGGTTAAAGTCAAGTTCTTTTAATGGAGTACTGAAACAAAAACAGCGTCTTTCTCAGTTTTCGAGCTTAGCGGGAGAGTCGGCAATTAAAAAAATCAAAAAAAGAAAAAGGAAAAAGCTTGTGAGCAAATCGGACGGCGGAGATGGCGCCGACGACGATTCGGAAGGCGATCGGGGCGGTGAAGGACCAGACGAGCATCGGGATCGCGAAGGTGGCGAGCAACATGGCGCCGGAGCTGGAGGTGGCGATCGTGAAGGCGACGAGCCACGACGACGATCCGGCGGGCGAGAAGTACATCCGGGAGATCCTCAACCTCACATCCTACTCGCGTGGCTACGTCAACGCCTGCGTAGCGGCGGTGTCGAAGCGATTGGGGAAGACGCGCGACTGGATCGTGGCCCTGAAGGCGCTGATGCTGATCCACCGCCTCCTCAATGACGGCGACCCTCTGTTCCAGGAGGAGATCCTCTACGCCACCAGGAGAGGCACCAGGCTCCTCAATTTGTCTGATTTCAGGGACGAGGCCCACTCCAGCTCTTGGGATCACTCCGCGTTCGTCAGGACTTATGCTATGTATTTGGATCAGCGCCTTGAGTTGATGCTCTTCGAGAGGAAGAGCTTTTTTTCGGCGGCGGAGGAGGAGGAGACGATAGGTTTGGTGCTAGGGAGAGGGACAATTTTCGGTCGCCGCCGCCGAGGCCGTACGAGTACGATTACGGGGATTCGAGATCCGGAGGGGAGTCCGGATCATACGGAGGGATAAGGCGGTCGAGATCGTACGGCGACATGAACGAGTCGGCGGGGCGAGGGGAAGGGAGAGAGGAGAACAAGAGGCCTGTGACGCCGTTGAGGGAGATGAAGCCGGAGAAGATTTTCGCCAAGATGGGTCATATGCAGAGGCTCTTCGACCGGTTCTTGGCTTGTCGGCCGACGGGGTTGGCCAAGAACAATAGGATGATTCTGATCGCGTTGTATCCCGTCGTTAGAGAGAGCTTTCAGCTGTACGCCGATATTTGTGAGGTTTTGGCTGTTTTGTTGGATAAATTCTTCGATATGGAGTATCCGGATTGTGTCAAGACCTTTGATGCTTATGCTAGTGCGGCGAAGCAGATCGACGAGCTAATTGGGCTCTACAGTTGGTGTAAGGATACGGGGGTTGCGAGGTCGTCGGAGTACCCGGAGGTGCAGAGGATTACCGGGAAGCTTTTGGAGACATTGGAGGAATTTGTTAGGGATAGATCTAAGAGACCTAAGAGCCCGGAAAAGAAAGAGGAGCTTCCTGCGCCTGTGCAGGAGGAGGAGCCGGTGCCTGATATGAACGAGATAAAGGCGCTGCCTCCGCCGGAGAATTATACTCCTCCTCCCCCACCTGAGCCAGAGCCCAAGCCCCAACTGCAACCACAAGCGACCAATGATTTGGTCGATTTGAGGGAGGATTCAGTGACGGCCGATGATCAGGGCAACAAGTTGGCCCTGGCATTGTTTGCTGGTCCAGGTACTAACAATGCCAACGGATCATGGGAGGCATTCCCATCTAATGGATCGGACCCGCAAGTGACCTCTGCCTGGCAGACACCTGCAGCAGAACCCGGCAAGGCTGATTGGGAACTCGCATTGGTGGAGACAGTGAGCAACCTGGCGAATCAGAAGGCAAACATGGGCGGTGGGCTTGACCCCTTGTTGTTGAATGGAATGTACGATCAGGGAATGGTGAGGCAGCACGTTAGCACTGCCCAATTGGGCGGTGGAAGTGCCAGCAGCGTGGCGCTGGCTGGCCCGGGAAAGAGCGCAACTCCGGTGTTGGCTCTCCCTGCGCCAGATGGAACAGTGCAGGCTGTAAATCAGGATCCTTTCGCTGCCTCGTTGACCATTCCACCGCCTTCTTACGTGCAAATGGCTGATTTGGAGAAGAAGCAGACTTTGTTGGTCCAGGAACAGATGGTGTGGCAACAATATTCAAAGGATGGAATGCAGGGCCAAACTAGCTTGGCCAAGATTGGTGGCGCCGGACACAATGGCATGGCTGCGAGCCCTTATCCTTATGGAATGCCGCCTGTCAACGGAATGGGGCCACCGGCCGGGTATTACTACACTCCTTACTGATTTTTGTTTTAAATTTTTTATAGATGAGTGTTTCTCTCTCTTTTTTTTTATCTATATTTTTGAACAATTCTGTATTTTTTTCCTAGTGTTTTTTTTCTTTTGTTTAAATGATCAAGGACTTGTTCCCTCTAAGAAAATTTGTGCATGGAAATGGTGGGAGGGGAGGAACTGAGATGAAGAGACTGTTGGGGAGGACTTTTGTTGTTTTGGAGATCAACGTAATTGAAGTCTGATGTCTCTCTGTCATGTAATATTAGCAATGTTTTCCCAATTTTTTTCCCCTTGTTTTCTAATTACGACTCTTGTTTGGAAGACGTCAAATTAACCAGTTAAATTTGACCGGAACTCATTTCTGCTTGGTGAAATTAATATGCATATGCTTTGCTGATCAACAACACCTGATTTGCTGTTTTTGTGGACTTTGGAGAGACTTTGGGTTAATAAGGATGTCAACGGGGTTCATTGGAGCAAATTAATAGGAAGTTGAACCCACGTTAGACTTGTGCTTTTGCTTTTGATTCTAACCTTTGGAGTTACATGGATTTTCATGCGAGAGTAAACAGATAAGACAAGGAATGACATGACCCCATTTTTTCCCTACTAAAACCTTTTATTAATTTTTCCATTGATAAAGTCATACGTGTGACCCACCATTTTAAATTACTAATTAGATTAAGCATTTCAAATATAATACTCCTTTACCTTTTTTAATATTTTGGAAAATTCTCTTTGTCGGGATCTTCCAGTGGTTATAACAATTATAGTAGTGTGCAATTTATTGTTGCTTCTAATAATTTATAATAATTAAATTATCTGTGGTAATTACTGATATGATAGTGATGTAAAAGAAAATAATTAAAATTAAATGTAATTATTTGAAAAAAAAAATAATAATAATAATAATTCAATACCATTTGGAATAACGTAGGGTTTCACAACTCTTCTTCAGGTCCCTGCTTAGTTGAATCCAATTTTGGAGAAATATGATTTGACCAGTTCTTAAAGAATGATAATGTCGGAACCCAGAGGGGGGAATAAAACAACAAAAAGACCTCTTTATTTCAAATTTAAGTAGAAACCAAGTGTGAGACATCTACGTTCTCGACCTAAAAATGATTGTCAATAATGATCGTGGATGACTGAATAAAAAACATGCAGTGAATTACAATAGGTTGTAAAAGTCCAAACGATGCTTGGTCGCTTCTAAGAAAACGACTTCTTGCCGGACATTTTATTATTATTATTATTAGTTTTCTTTTCTTCAACTTGATGACTGTTTATGTGTCATGGCCATTCATGTGGTAGTCTCCGTCCTTCAAACCAACAAAAGAGGTTTATTTTTTATAATGAAATGTAAATTGGGGGACGCTATTATAAAAATAAAGATCGGAAAACAAAGTATAACACACGGCATAATTTAGGGTAAAAGTTTTAAGGAATTTGTTTCTTGAAAGCTTAATTCATTTTATAATCAAGTAACAATTAAGTTATATTGTTATAATAATTTTTCTCATAAAAAATTTAATTTTAAATTTTTTGTTATTGTATTTTTTTTTTTCAAATACACAATTCAAGTTCTTAATTTGAGTTGAAACAAACATACTTTTAATAAGTGAGGAGAAAACTTGAGTTAAAATGTGAAATTTATGTGAGAGAAAATTATAACAGAACAAAATTTATTTGAATTTTTATAAAAAAAATATTGTAATAAAAAATTTGAGTTACGATTCAAACCGTGAAATGAATGAAGCACCATTTCATTACTTGGAATCCCCCACCTCAAAATCCAAAAAATTTGATCGCGCGTGTTTCTCGCCATGTTAATATAGGAGTATGTCTACTGTTTTTTGAAAGAATATATTCATCGTTCAAGTCTCAAAATCTGTAGAAAAAATCAAATTAATAAGTGGGTATTTAGTTCATAGATTTAAAATTATGATTTAAAATTATTTTTATTTTATGTATATTTTTTATGAGAAAAAAATACTATAAAAAATTATAAATTATAATTTAAAATTAAAAATAAATCTAGAAAATAAACATCTCATAAATATGTATATATAAGCATATATAGACGTAGGGTTAGAGCATTGTTTCCGAGTACTATAGCCTCCTCTTGCCGACATGTAGGGCTTTATCAACTTTAATAGCATGGGGATGATATCTTTTTGTCGGATTATTACGTACCATGCAATTTCAGTGGCTGTGGTTATTTTCTTTCGCTGCACTCTTATCACGGATTCTCTTTACTTGGGAGCTTATTAGTTCGTTGATTTAAATTTTTAATTTAAGTTAAGATATGATTTTATATGAGAATTTTTTACTGTAATAAAAAAGTTAAATGTAACTGTTTTTTAGAATTTTTTACTATAATAAAATTTAAATTCTAAACTTGAATCGGTAAAATAAACGGAACTTAAGTTTATATTTTTTTTTCTCGCCTCAAGTTAATTTGGAAATTTTGTTCATACTTTTTTTTTTTTTTTTATGAAGTCCGAGAAAAGAACATCGACATTAGTCTGTCTTTTTGAATATTACCAAATAAGCTCTCGGTGATAAAATGTTTGTTTTGAAGGCCCGCTGTACTTTTGGGCGTTATCCCTTAACGAGAAGGCCATTGAGAATTGATTTCAAATTATTTGAAAAAAAAATGAAATAAAATAAAAACCATTTTATGGGTAAGTTAAAGTCCACGATCACCGAAATTTATGATACAATAGTAAAAAATATTTACTCAACGAAGAATTATGGTTAAGAAAAGAACAATATTGTCTTTTTGGGCGTGTGGGTCTGGAAAACAACCTTTCATGGCATTGAACTCACAAGTTCCTCTCAACTTCTTTAATGGCTTTTAGGCCAACCATGACCCACCAATCTTTCTTTTTCCTTCACTGGCCACAAAATCGGGAAACTGCTACACTTGATATATATTATATTCCGCCTTTTTTTTTTTTTTACCCCTACTTTTATTTGGCTTTCCCTTTTGTTTCTGTTTGATAATTACTTCACATTATTCCACATCTTCCATTTTAAACTCCAAAATGACATCTGAGCTACCCCAGCACCCAGCTTGTGGAACCTTCTTTTTCGATTAGTCTGCGTCGTGAAAAGCACTACTAGACCTGAATTTTGCGACCAATAAATTGGGTCAATATTCATACCGTTTAATTCGCTGATGTGAGTTTTTAATTCGAATTCATATGTAATTTTATGTGAAAATTTTTTACTGTAACAAAAAAGTTAGACATGACTATTTTTAAGAATTTTTAACTGTAACAAAACTCGAATCAGTGAAATAAACGGACATTTTTTTCGCTATATATATTCGTATATTTTATAACTTGTATCGCGGTACCAGTTTATAACTATTGGAGGCAAATTTAGTTGAACAAATAGTGTCAAAAGTCCAAATCCAACTATATTAACCACTGTTCACCAAAAATTGGTTGTTAATATTGAAAGTTACAACGCAGCGTTTGGGGGTCCATTATTGAACGCCGAGGGCAGTTCATCTGTCGTAGTACAACTCTATCTGAACCTAAATTCTCAAATAAGGTTTCTGCAAATTTTTGTCCCATAAATATGACGCCCACAAACTATTTCTTCTCTTTTCTGATTAGTCTTTTAGAGGTTGTTTGATATAAAAATTCGTGTCATGGTTCGTAGCTCGTTACAGTATTTTTTCTTATAAAAAATACACGTAAATTAAAAATAGTTCTGAATAATGATTCTGAATCCGTATATTAGAAACTTCAACTCTTTGGTGTCACTGAATACTTCTTAAAGAACCTTTTTTTTTCAGTGATCATTTTGGATAACCAAAATATATGTGGTAGTGAATTTCTAAATAAATAAGGGTATTTAACTCCCATAAACTTTTAATTTTAACAAGTTGTCTTCTCAATTTATAAATTTATTGTAACATGCATTATTTTGATGATGATTGTGTTAAATTAGTGTCAAAAAAGTATGTTCGACGAGAAATTTTAATATCTCAATTCAAATGCAACACAAATCTTTCAATTTCAAATGTAACTAGACTATTAACTACAATTTATCGGTCTAAATAAGATATTTACCGTCAAAACCAACTCATCCTTACCCACCTCTACAATATTAAAGTCTCGTTTATTTCATTGATTCGAGTTTAAAATTCGAGTTTTGCTACAGTAAAAAACTCTCATAAATAGTCACACTTCTTTTTTGTTACAGTAAAAAACTCTCACATAAAGACACATCTCAACTCAAATCAGTTAATTAAACGAGACCCTAAGAAAATCAAACATAAAAAAAGAGTGTTGTTTTTTTTTATACTTTTTGTTTATAATTAATTTGAAGGTATGATGTGATATATTTCTGTGTATCTTTTTTAAGAAAAAAGCTCTTTTATACAGTTATTGTTTTAGTACATAATTTCTTTTACTGATGAAAAATGAAGATAATTACGTGGTCATGATAATTGTATCAATTCTATCCAAATGTGTACTATAAGAGTGCATAATAAAGACATCACGAAATTAAATCATTTTTGATGAATTGATTGACATAAATAAAAGAGTGTTTGTTATATTTGTTTTTTTTTGTTTTTGATACCTTTTGTTTATAATTAATTTGAATGTATGATGTGATATATTTCTGTGCATCTTTTCTAAGAAAAAAGCTCTTTTATACGGTTATTGTTATAGTACATAATTTCTTTTATTGATGAAAAATGAAGATAATTACGTGGTCATGATAATTGTATCAATTCTATCCAAATGTGTAGTATAAGAGTGCATAATAGAGACATCACTAAATTAAATCATTTTTGATGAATTGATTGACATAAATAAAAGAGTGTTTGTTATATTTGTTTTTTTTTTTTATACTTTTTGTTTATAATTAATTTGAAGGTATGATGTGATATATTTCTGTGCATCTTTTTCAAGAAAAAGAGATCTTTTATACAGTTATTGTTATAGTGCATAATTTCCTGTACTGATGAAAAATGAAGAGAATTACGTGGTCATGATAATTGTATCAATTCTATTCAAATGTGTACTATAAGAGTACATAATAGAGACATCACTAAATTGATTGACCAATCACAATGGGTTATTTTTCTGTTATGGGCTACTGTTACAAGAAATGTCAAAGCCTCGTTGCATAAGCCTTGGTCCAATCAAAACGAACCCTTTCATTAGCTTTGGATCTGACGCGCACCATGTGACTACTTGGGCCAAAACCCAAAAACAAATTAAATATGATTTTTTAATTTTTAATAAAAGTCTCAATTCATCGTTTGAATTTTTAATTTAAATTAAAATATAATTTTATGAGAAAATTTTTAATTATAACAAAAAAATTAAATATAATTTTTTATGATAATTTTTAACTGTAATAAAATTAAAAATTAAAAATTTAAATTAATAAAATGAACGATACTAAAATCACTTTTTGCCCGTAATCTTCACGTAAAATCATTTAGCTGATTAGAAGGATGTTTCCACGGTAGGACCTCCTGCCCATAAGTAATAGTGTCTTTTTAAGACCGGTGAATGTATTAAAACAAAATAATACGCGGAATAAATAGTTTGTGATATAATTTTAATGATTAAAAATAAAAATAAAAACATTAATAATTTGCTTTTTAAAAATATAAAAAATTTCTTTAAAAAAAGAATGTCTAGGTTTATTAAAATCTCATTTAGAACATATATTATGATTCTCATTTATTAAGAATTTTAACTTTTTTATAAGATAAAAAACACCGTATAAAAACTCATTATTTTGTAAAGGCTTGTTTAATTTGTTGATTTGAGTTTTTAATTCGAGTGAAATGTAATTTTATGTGAAAATTTTTTATTATAATAAAAAAAATTAGATATCATTATTTTTTAAAACTTTTTACTATAATAAAATTTAAATTTTAAATTCGAATGAGATAAAAAAAAA